AAAGAAACTGAAATTATCTTGTATGTTATTAATAAAAAAAAACACTTAAATTAAAACTAGGATTGCACTCAACTTGTTCAGAGACATAAAAAGACTTAACTAAAACAGATAAGTTGTTTTGCTTTGCAGCAAACATCTTCAGAAACATGTAACGCATAGAAAAGCTATGCGGCTATAACTGCCCTGGAGGAATGGGAGGAATCTGAGGCAAAAACAGCAGTCACTAACAGGAATGACGTGACAGAAAAGAAAATGAGACGGGGGGAACATAAAGAAAGGGCTGGTTTAATCTGGATTGTAAAAAAAAAAGTCAGTAGGTTTTTGAAAAACCTGATCATTAAAGCCACGCACGTATCAATATTTTATCTGGACATTCCTCAAGCATGGATATTGAAAGATGATGAAGTCATGCCATTTTTTGTTTGTGCTGATTTTCTGATGTATCAAATTTAATTACCTAAAGTTTATCCTTAGCAATGCCAGACATTATATTGAAATGTTCCATGTAATAAAGCAGAAAGTCAAGAACGTACATTCCTGTAAAGTCAACAGATGACTAAATGAGGGAGATGAGCACAATAGCCTCTTCTTGTTTATTATCCTTCGCATGCTCTTATGATGTAACCCTATTTCTGGAACAAAAAGCAAACATATATACTCCTTTCCAAAGGCACTGGTAAAATTTATAAACACAAATATCTGGTCAACTGCTGAAAGGTGACTCACAGAAAGTCAGTGACGCAACAGGACCAGAATTAGAAAACTATTATCACGGCCTTTACCTTAATAGCAGGCCTATGAAACATGTACTATAGCATGTAGCATGTAACATATCAATGCGGCTTGAAATTAAATAATACGGGTACACAAAACGTGCCTTCTCATTTCCTTGATAGTCATGTGTATTTGTCCTAGTTGGGTGAATAATTTCTCAACAAAATGCATCTGTCAGTTTTATAATTTTTTCCTTCACAGACATGCATTTCATGTAATTAAAATGTCAAACATCAGAAAATCCTAGGCAGGGAAATTGGGTTACCAGAGAAACTAAGTCACGAAGTATTCCCAGGGAATCCAGACCTGATCCAAGTACAGGTTTACCTTGCTTACCGCAGTGCTTATGTCCATTGAAACCCCTGCAGTTGGCAAAACAGTGGTTGGCACCTAGCAAGTACAATAATCACTTGCCAACCACGAGTTAACCAATCTCACATTTGAGTACCCACAATTGTATTTCTGTATTACTGACCCATTATACTTAAGTATGTAAGTATGAACCGTTTTACTTTTAGATATCCTCATTACCCCACATGTGTATATTTCCTTTAAGTGTTGCATGTTGCATATATGCAGATGCAGCCATTCAAAGTGCAGCGCACGTAGGGGAGGTAATTGGGTACGGCCTCGCGCATCGCGACTCGCGTTGACGCAAAATATCGCGGTACGTGATTGGTTGACCGACAGGGGCTCTCGTGGTGCTTGGTCGGTCGTAGAAAGATTTAAATGTCTTTGACCGCTTTGAGCTGTCGCCGTCAAAGTCTTTAAAGAAGATATTACTAATAGTCAATACTTTACTAAATATTAAATACTAAAACAGGCACAGTAAAGACATTAAATATACATATACATACTGTATACAATTTGCATACAGCAATATGTTTATGTTCCTAAATCAATCTCTTTTATGAGCATGTGAAAGGCATGGTGAATCTGAGATTCTCAAAAATTAATGTACTTTGCATGATTGGAAACAAATGCGTGATTGTGAAACGCTGTGGTGCTACTTTTACAAAGACGGTCAATGAAAAAAACAATGTGGACCAGGGCAATACTTTGAGTTTACAGCTTGTCCAAGGTCTTTCATTATTAGTACTATTAGTAATAACTTCGTTAAAGACTTTGATGGCGACAGCTCAAACATGAGAGGTTGAGCTTTATTAGCTCCACCTTGCAGAAATTCAGGATTCTATTATTTTACTTGCGGTAATATACGAGAATTTATGGTAACTTGCGGTAGACTACGTAAAGCGCACCGCAAAATAATATGGTATCGCCCACTTGTTTTGAATGGCTGCATCTGTAGTAGAGTACTACATTTCACACTGACAGCTCCTTGTACCATGCAGTGATTGTGACTAAAATCTAGTTATACTATTTTTCTCTATATATACACACAATAATAATAATTCCTTCCACTTATATAGCGCTTTTCTCGACACTCCACTAAAAGCACTTTACAGGTAATGGGGACTCCACTCCATCACTACCAATGTACAGCATCCAACTGGTACACTCACTACATATCAGTGGGGAGGAGAACATAGCAATGAAGCCAATTAAGAGATGAGGATTATTAGGTTGCCATGATTGGTAAAGGCCAATGGGAAATTTGGCCAGGATACCGGGGGTTACATCCCTACTCTTTTCGAGAAACACCCTGGGATTTTTAATCGGAACAGAGAGTCAGGATCTCGTTTTACGTCTCATCCTAAGGACGGTGTCTATTTTACAGTATAGTATCCCCATCACTATACGATCGGGATTATGACCCACAGAGACCGTAGGGTGAGCTCCCCCTACTGACCCCCCAAACACCTCAGCAACCTTAGTTTTTCCCAGGAGGTCTCCCATCCAGGTACTGTCCAGCTTCAGTGGGTTGCCAGTTGTGTGTTGCAGGGTGATATGACTCCTAGCTTTAAACACTAGTTAAATAAGCAATTTAACTTATGCCATGGGTATAAGCATTTGAGAAAGGGTGAAGAATCTGGTTTTGTAAGAGTGAAGGATCAGTGATGTCTTTAGATAATAAAATAAAAGTTCTTCATAAGTTGAGAAGGTCAAAACAATAGTGCTCTTGCTAAATTACTCTGTGTTAATGAATCAACAACTTGCATGATAAAGAACAATAAAGCTGTTATCAGAGTGTTGCCAGTAGTGCATCTTTACTTAAAGTTTCAAAAACTGTACTGTATAGTATGACATGACCCAAACACTGATAAACATGCATACAATATATACTAAAGCTAAGAGAATTTACAAGCATCATTTGAAAGATCAGGAGTGCTTTGTTAACTTTAAAAATTGCTATTCCACATAAAGTTTCCTGCCGAACTGTCTAAAAAGGCTATTTGCCTGATAACTGATACCTCAAAACTGGGCTATTTTTTAGCATATGGAATTAGGATTTGTTATGATCTATTATATTTCAGTTTACTCTGGGATTTTTGTGTTAAATATCTGGAGGTGAAAAGAACTTAAGACATTTCATAGGTTCACTTGTGACTTCAGTTCCTCAAAACCTATTTTCCCACCAAGTCTTAAGTTCACAAACTAAGAATTTACCTACTGGGAGAATGTTCAGGAATGACTGGCAAGAGATTGCTATGAATGGAAAATAGGGGGTAAGGATTCCATGGTCCATGTTACAGTCATCAATGTCTAACTTGAGGATTTCTCCCTTAAACATAACAAATGCAGTACTATCAATTATAAACTAAATCCATAAATAGTTGTAATATTTTGCACCATAGATCAAAAATAGTAAAATCATTGAATGTACTTAAAAGAGCACCAAAATCACGTGAAGAAGCTAATGTGAAAAGCACACAACTGAACACCCCAGCTGGGTGGAGAGACGGTGGTGTGTGATGTCATCTTGTCTCCAACACCGAGTCACAAGCAGAACCATAGCCGAGCAAGGTTTTCTTGCAGTTGGGAAGACTGGTTTTCAATACAGAAATCATGTCCAAGTGAGGGTATTTCCTTACAAAAAACCAGCTACCATCTACCATCTGAGCTCGACAGGCCGAATAACCTCCTCCTTTTTGTAACCTCTCCGATGTTCTTACTGTATAAATCACTTACTTAAAAGTCTTAATAAAGGCAACATTAAGCCATGCACCAACTTGCTCTTAATTAAATTCACTGCCATTAAATCTGTTCCACATACTATACAGTACAGTTTTTGAAATTCAGAAAAGGAAAATTAGGTTTGCAAGATTTCATAATTTTGTGTTGCATTTTAACTTGTATCACAAACAGATGATGAAATATTAAATATATATCGATTTACTTGTGTGAAAAGTAGAATAGCCTTCAGGGGACTGCGGCTATATAAATAAAACAGCGTAATGCCCAGACATGGTTTGTTGTTTAATACCTGGAAGATGTCATAGCAATCTGATAAATCAGAGCTATCTAAGGCAGTCTTTAGTTGCATTTCGTTCTCATTAATTGAAGCTTCAAGATAACATGGATAAAAGTATGTGTTTAAGGCACCATCTGGTGGCGACAGCAGTAATCTCCCAAACATGCATTTTTTAAACCACTTCCTCTAGTACAGAGTTGGGGAGATGGAGACTCACCCAGCAAGGCGCAATACACCCTGAACGGGACACCAGCCAATTAACCTACCAGCAAGTCTTTAAAATGTGGGACAAAAATGCAGCACCCAGGGGAGATCTATGCACACACATAAACTCCACACAGATGGCACCCCAGAAGTTGAACCCAGATCTAATAGTCAGGTCTACAGTTCAAAAAGAAAAAAAAATCAGATAAAGCTTAAACACAAAGCTTTAATACCTTTTACAGGTTTAACAGTCATATCAATAATCTAACATAAGCAGGGGAGTACACAAACCATTGGTCAGTAGGGAGAATGCTACTGAGTGGTTTTTAAACAGGTGTTCAAATACTCCAGACACCAGGGGATGTGAGCCTTTGTCGAGAAGAAAATGTGAGACTGTCATATGCTGGTGAAAAAAAACTAGTGTACAGCATTAACATTCTGCTCAAATTGCTATATTGTTAAATGCTTATCTACATCTTCATATCTTCAACGGTCAAAAAAGATATTTCAGTAGAAAATCACTTAGGCAACCGCCAAAATAGTAGGTTCAAAAATAGAAAATGTTGGTTTCTTTCACCTTACGCACACAAGGTAAAACAACGCACCTGTAACACAGAAATCACTGACAAGTGTGCGCGTCGCTTCCTACCTGTCATCGAGTTCTCAGAGGTGCTGAGCTGCTCCCTCAGCTTCTCCACGTCATCGGGGTGCACCTGCTCAAACAGTGTGCTTCCAAACCACTCCGACTGTGGGTGATTGAGGACCGGAGTCACAGAGTCCGAAACGTAGATCACTCTGCCTGTCTCCGCAGCAACCACGAACAGAAAGCCGTCTGCTGCCTCCAGGATCAGGTGTTTCAGCTCCTTTGAGGAAAAGGTTCGACAGAAGGTCAGTGTTGGAAAATAAAGAATGTTTTGCAGAAGCCTGGGAAAATAAGACACAAGGGACGAGATCATGGGTTCCTCTTGAAAAGTAAAAAAAAACAATTCAAGCTCCGCGCTCTTCAGCTCTGAGCTCCCTGTGGATAACAAAGCAGCACAAAGACACTGCAAACACTGTTGCTACAGTAATGGATATTGCAAGGGAGCTAGAACGTGGAGCAGGGTTAGGTGCTCTGGGTGGTTGTGGGTTGAAATCCCAGGTAAGACACTGCTGTTGTAGCCTTAGAAAAGGTACTTCATGCAAACTGCTCCAATAAACAGCCTCCTGTATAAATGAGTATTCTCTTGGTCATCACTGTAGATGAGAATTTGCTTCCAACAGTAATTATATGCACTTTTGTAGCACTTTTCATCCAAAAGGATGAAAGGACCCACTTTCACACACAACTGAAGTGCAGCATCAGTTGCACCACCATAAAGCAGATCACCTGAAGTTTACAGGGCTAAATATGTTTGACATTCCTTCATATATTTTCCATCTCACTGCTGCCACTAAGAATAAGGGAGAAAGGAGGAAACTAGATTTTAGGATAATGGAAGGTCTACTGGAGACCACATAGTCCACTCATTTTAAACTAAGCACATACACAGAAACATAAGATGTGAATCAAAGAGAATTTATCTTTCCTAATTCCTTATCTATACTCCATTACAACAAACCTGTCTGTCACTATCAGTCACTGGCATTCCTGCCACATTATCTGCAGACACCGTGGCAGCTTATCTTCCCTCCAAGGACACTGCATTAGCCCCACACATCTGCCCACCTGCTCCGTTAGGAAGGAGGGCTTGTATGCGCCATCAGTGGAGGTGTTCCCCGTGCCCCTCATAGACTTCATGTGCGACACGGCCATGCGCAGAATGGTCAGCTTGTCCGGCTTGCGTGCCAGGGCACTGCAGGTGGGCACCATGTCCGACAGCTCCGTGATGTACTGAGTCATCTTATTCCGCCGGCGCCTTTCAATTTCGCTGTGGTTCTCTCTGGGCGTGCAACATGAAATTAAAAAATTAGCCTACAGACGAGGCACTGCATCACCATGGCATGACAGCCTCCAAAATGCAAAGAGAAACAGAATCCGCAAAACAAACAAAAAAACTAAGAAAGCAGCTGCATTTCATAAATTATTATCCGGGACTTACATTCAGGTTTAAAACAAAAAAAATTGCATTAATACCAGCGTTCGTAATCTAAGTTTGCCATTAATCCCTACAGTGTTTCAGTGGCTCTCCAAGGTATAACTGTGGGTCATAAAACATTGTATCCCAGTGCTTGTCTCACTGACACCCCTCACCATCCCCCACAACACCACCAGTGCAGCAGCCCCTGGGTTTACCGTAAGGGGGGGCTGAATACCTCATCCATATGGCCAGGCTGTTCCTCAAACCTAGTGGGTTAAAGCCAGACATTATCAATAACTGCCTTAATTGCAATCACACTGTTGGGGTTGGTCTCTTAATCCTAATGATATCATTAAAGAGTGGCATATTCATTGTGCGGTGTCTCCAGAGTCACTCTGGCTCAATAACAATGACCTGCACAGAATACCTTCAGCAATGAAACAAAACAATTATAGAAACCAAAACTCGATTGCTAACTATACCTGTAACCACTCAACTTAAGCTATGCAGCTGGCTAGCTTGTGAATTTATTCTGAAGAAGCAATGCAGGAGGAGTGAGGTCTGTGTTTACTGCTGGTGATGTTCCTTGGCTAGCCAGCACAGCTTTCAGCTTCGTATAAAACTACCACACGGGAGGAAAGTTTTAAAATAATTAGATTTATCCTGAATAACCCACCTGGACAGAGGATAAGAAAAAGACTCTGTTATTGATACTGTTCAAGGGTGGTGCAAAACAGAAGTAATGCAGTTGATATTGGGAGTCCGTTTAGTTTTAAGCAACTCATTCCATAAAATCAAGGACTTCAAAATTACAGGGGGTAGCAAAATCGAGGAATCAGCAGTAGAAAATAATTCTCTAAACCTAGCTGCTTTTGTTCTGTCAGGAGTTGTGCAATTCACAATCGAAAGGTTACACACTGCTCACTATCTGGGCACAGTTACAGTGAACTGAATTAAGAGAACAGCATTATTACATGCCTGTGGACACACAATCACATTTATTTATCAGTGTGCCAATTCGGACAGCGTTGCAAAGCGTAATTACCAAACATCACATAAGAATGGTTTATGAACTGCCTTTACAAGTTGGTTATTTTTAAAAATGAAGTTATTATTATTATTTCAAAAGCTGTATTTTATTCATGTGATAAACTTTGCAGCTGCATTAGTTTTCCATCAGAGTCTATGAGAAATTTGTTTTAATTAACTTCTGTGGAAGAAGGTAATAAAACCTTTAAGAAAAATACATTCCTTAAAAATGTATTGTTCTTTTAAAAATTATCTTCCATTTAAAAACATTAAAAAGCATTAAGCAGCACAGATAAAAAGAGATCAAATCCTCTGCAATCTGAGCAGATCAGTCCTACCTCGCAAACCTTTCCTTATCACCAGGAATCTGATCATCATCATACCTAGAAACAGAGCACAGCAGTGAGCACACAGAGAGTCTGGGATGACCAGTAACATTCAGAGCAAGCACTTCTGCAGTCATGGAATGAAAGCACACTGGACCAATGCATATAGAAAAGACAAGCAGGGATTTAATCACAACTGGTGACTCACTTTTTAACCAACATAAATCAATTTAAGTAAAGTATTTCTACTAGCATTTAGAATTTTAGAAGCATGCAGCTTTTAACATCCAGTATAAAACGTGGCTTTTTAAGAGAAATTACTCTTTATACTACAAAGGCCCTTTTCTATTGTACCTAGACACAAACAGTCATGAAACTACTCCACTGCCCCTCAGTTTTTAGCACATAGAAAAAGTCCTCAGCCCTTTTTACTCAGATGCAGTGGTCTAAACATACCGTCAGACAAAATTATATCCTCCTACATAAGTTGAGCTGGGATCGTTTTATCTTTCCTACAAGACTATGAATTTCAGGAGAACCATTTATTTGCCTTAAACGGGTGCATGTGACTACAAAAGTAAATGATAAACAGAAAATTACAAACATCATTTAAAGTGGCTGTATCCTCCTTTGGGGTAATGGTGAAACACAGGTTTAGCTCTGATCATTGGACAGGAATCCAAATTTAACCCCAGGATGTACCTCTCAAAGCCCTAAAACCTCTCAAGGATAGACAGGGGACCTGTCAGCATTTACTATGTACTTTTGACCTCAGAGGAGAGCAACACTATGATAATACCAAAGATCCTACACTGATCAGATCACAACTGGGAACTGCCAGCAACAGGTAGCCTCCACAAGCAGAACAACAGGCAATACTCGTTTCAGACTGTGGACACACTGCAACTTAATGCAGAAACAAGGGGAAAAGTTACATTTGACGTAAATGTTATTTAACTGTTTTATTTTATAAAATATTTTAGATTGTTGGTTAAAAAACCTTAGCTTTTTATTTACAGGAATAAGTCTACTTCTCTCTCTCCAGAAGGGGGCGCTGCATCCTCTTGAATATGCAACCCACAAAGGGGGAAACGCATATTTTTGTACAGACCAGAGTTATTTAAAAAAAATAATAAAAACAAGGGGATACAGATCCTTTAAAGACAAGAATGGATTTAAAAAAAAAATCCAAACATAAATCAGGACATGGAGAGATCGGCTTGGCATGCTGCAGGTAAATCACCCACTGTTTGCAGCTGATAAAACAAAAAATCATAAGAAATGGCAAACATGCATAAACAATATGACGGAAAATAAAGACAGGAATGCTTAGATGGTCTTGTTGGACGTTTCTCTGCATGAATTGTTTTCCTCTACAGAAAGTAGATACAGTGGAGCTACAAACAAAAATGATGAAGTGAAAATAATCACAGATCTAAGATCACGATCCTAGACTACAATTAGAAGCCACTTGAAACTATTAAATATCCATTTAAGTCTGTTTAATAATGCCTATTATCTTAACCACTTTTATTTATACTCACCTTGAAAATTTGCTTGGTCCCTCTCCATCCTCATCATCAAAGTCCATGCTATAAAGAAAGCACCATTAGCCACAATTCAAAACCTCAGGAGAGCGGCATCAGGTTAATGCTAATGCTGTAATCTCCAGTGAGTTATGCTAACATGTGCAGAATGTCCCTCATGCTGGTGGGAGAAGATCAAGATGAAAAACATCAAACCAAATTAAACAATGACTGTTTGCACAATACAGGCTTATGTTTTATTTGCACTGGAAATAGAATTTAAAACATTACATAAACAAAAGGTTTAATGCAGGTGCAGACAAACAATACAGACAAATAAGCATGAAGTGTATCTTAATCTGACCCTCAGCCAATAAAAGAATGATAGGTCTATAAACACACCAAAAAACACATGAAATTTAAACTGAAATAATATAAACAAGAAACACAAACAAAAGGTATCGGATCAGATACAAATACAGCCCTTAAAATCCCCAGAACTTAACATTTCCTTCCGGGACAACACAGTAAGGACTAATCCTTTAATCAAAGACATTGTGCTTCTCATATAATGAATCTACACACTAAGCCAGACCATCAGTCCAGAGAAGTGTGATCAGATGCTTTTCTGGATTTAAAAGAAATTAAATATACAATGACAGGTTAAAATTTGTCTTAGCATGACAAATTGTACTCACCGGACTTCCTTAAGATTAGCCATGAATCAGAATTCAAAAGTAGAAAAAACAGGGAAGTGTGGATAGGTGGGTAAAAATATGGAAGCACTACATTAATGGGGTGTTAGGTACATAATTCTATGAGGAATTAATGGAAGAAAGGTGCTGCCTCCTTCTTACAGATTCTCCTCCTTGACTGAGCTCATATCAGGCAACTGAGGTCATGATATATGGATAACAGAGTCATGTTTATTAACCACTGCGTGACCATGAGGGACACCCTCATTTACCCACGTAATTCCATTTTTTGTCCACTACCTTATTACCCAAGAACAGGTGGCACATTTTTACATGACTACTGTGGGAGTCTGCAACAAATTACTTAATCATGTTATTGAAGCCAACACCCCTACTCCTTTCAAGAAATGGAGTATTGAATCAAGTTACTATATCCAGTACTAAACAACCTAAATGGTTCTCTTATTTGTGACATTTCTTATGTTATTTTTCAGTGCAGTTGAAACATATACTATGGTTAAGAATAAATTCTTAGAGCTGGAGGAGAGATGACTAAAGAGATAATCTAGTTAGTGACATACAGAGAACTGTTGTCATTTTCTCTTTCTGTAATAAGAGCTGTGGAAATGACTTCTCATATCTGTTTGTTGGGAGATGTAGCAATGAAATAAATTAGCGGTTTGCTTTAGCACTTAGTTAACATGGTAGTTATCAGTCACAAAGTAGAAACAGCAAATGACAAAAAAAAAAGACAAGAAACAAAGCAAACAGGCATTATAACAACAAACCACTCCTTCAACATAAGGTAAGAAGTGCTGATGTTAAAAGTATAGAAATTGTCAAACACTGGCTTAATGCATCTTAATCCTTTGTCTCCCAAGAAGAGAGAACAGTGATGCTGATCTCATTGCACAAGACTGAAGAAATTAATTCATTCAACAAGACTGCCCTAATGCGTGGTATGAATACAAGTTTCAAAATATATTCACCAAGATGCCTGGGTACTTGGAGAAAAACAGGTTTAAAAGTAGTGATGGGCAAAGCTTTTCTTTACTCATTAAAACAATTCCCAAGGCAAATATTGCATCTGAAATACACGAATATTTAGATGAGGTATTAAGAAGGTGGTGCTCTTATAAATGTGTGTGCCCTATGATGTACCGGCGTCCCATCCAGGACATACAATGCCTTGTGCCCACTGCTTGCCTGGATAAGATCCGACTTCCCTGCGACCTTGTACTGAATAAAGCTTTAAGTTTCTTAGTATATCATACATACATTTTCTAACTCTTTGGAGGTTAATTTTCCAGGCATCAAAACATTAACAAAAAAGACAAATATTAAAGATTTGTGGAGAAAAACAGAATTTGCTGTTGTAGTCTGATTGTGTCAGATCTCCACAGTTATTATTGATACTTTGCTGTGGGATTTGCCATCCTTTGAGACATTTAACCATGGTCCTGACTACTAGGTCATTAAAGATCATATGGCTTTTTCATAAAAAGTAGGGGTGTTAACCCCAGTATCCCAGCTTAACTGAACAATGCTTTTAGATTGCTTTATACCTTGATTAAACATCACACGACAAAGATTTATGGATTGGAATGAGTCCTTAAAAAAAAAAAAACAAATTTCAACTATAACCTTAATAACACATCCAAGTCCTATTTGTCACAAATAATCTCCAGAAAACACAAGAGTAACGCAAGCATTTATTTACACCCCTGTAGTTAATATGTTGTAAAGCCTCCTCTAGCAGGGATTACACCAACAAGACTCCACTGTAATGTACTAGGGGTTCTTGACCATTCCTCCAGACTTGCTATACGTTCTTCAGATCCTTTCGTTTCCATTTACGGAGTGCTCTCAGGACTTCAAAGCACAAATGTCTGATTAAAGTGAAGTCTGAAGATTGAGAAGAGTGTCTGTCAAAAAATATTTATTTTTCCTGCACTGAACTATTTCTTTGTTGATCTGGACCAATGCTTTGAAGCATTCATGCTGAAATACCCAAAAATGGACAAGATTAGGTTTCTTAGCAGAGGGAAACAGATATTTATTCATAGACATCCACTGCACCTCTGAAGCACAGAATGTTACTGTCGATTTGGTTTTGGGGGTGTATATTTAACAGTAATAATAATAAATAATAATAATAATAATAATAATAATAATAATTGCTTACACTTACATAGCACTTTTCTGGATACTCCACTCAAAGCGCTTTACAGGTAATGGGGACTCCCCTCCACAACCACCAATGTGGATGATGGATGATACGATGGCAGCCATAGTGTTCACCACACATCAGCTAGTGCGGAGGAGATGGGGATAATTGGGATGCCATGATTGGTAAGGGCCAATGGGAAATTTGGCCAGGATGTCAGGGTTACACCCCTACTCTTTTTAAGTTTTTAATTGACCACAGAGTCAGGACCTCGGTTTTATGTCTCATCCGAAAGACGGTGCTTGTTTACAGTATAGTGTCCCCATCACTATACTGGGCCATAAGGACCCACATGGACTGCAGGGTGAGCGCCCCCTGCCGGCCTCACTAACACCTCTTCCAGCAGCAACCTTAGTGTTTCCCATGAGATTTCCCATCCAGGTACTGACCAGGCTCACACCTGCTGAGCCTCAGTGGGTTGCCAGTTGTGAGTTGCAGGGTGATATGGCTGCCATATCATTTAAGTGAACACTCAGAGGATAAAATGTTTTCTCAATTCAACTTACAAATGACAAATATAACTTTGCTTTTGCAGTTGTGATAGGGTAGCCTGTCTTTGTGCATACTGGGGTATTGTATTTAACAGTTAGCCATCTTATCCAGTACCTTTTCTGCATGAGGATTCTTATGGTGCCACATCAGCACTGCTCAAATGGCTGCTGACTTTAAAGGGAAATGTTACTGGTAGGTCATCTATAATAAACCAATGTCTACATCTATTTATTTTCTTTGTATAACTGCATTTAAAAACTTGAGTGTGTTTGTAAAAGATGTATTAGCATGTGAACTAAACAAAATTTATAAAAATGATTTAAAATGTGAGTAGTCCCTTTAAGGAACGATGGCCTTCTGGGGAAAGTGGGTGTACAAAAGGGACTGGGAGTTTAACAGGGAGTTGGTTCTCTGGAAGGAAGGTTGCCAGTGGAGGGCTTGTGTGTTTTGTTTCAAAACTGTTAGTTGCATTGTATGGAAGAAAATAAAATCTTTTTTTTTTTAAGATTGGCATTCAGAGTGTCTTTTAATTAAGACAAACCCAGTGGTTGCTGACTGCAATACTATTGTATTGATTTCTGTATAACATTTTTAGACTTTTTTAAGATGCATTATCCAATCCATAACTCTGTTTTTGTTCTTATTTTATTGAGCATGTAAAAACTGCCCATGAGTACCACAGTAAAATTTTCAACTTCTATAAAGTTCAGATTAGATGCGTAAAGAGCACGTAGTGAGATAGATTCCTTCCGTGATAAACAGTGCAAAGTAAAATTAACGCAGTCAACACCAGAATCCACTAGGGCTCCATTTTGCACTTCATTCTCGCACCGCTTTCACATGAAAACAGTGAATAACCTGTATTAAAATCATGTCATTTACTGTGTATAGGGTAATTAAATACACAGTAGCGTCTTGACATCTGCAAGTTTTACATTCACTTATTCACTTTCTCTGGGTTTTGTATGAAAGCAAAGCAAAGCAGGCTAAAACCTAGCTGAAAGTTAAGTACAACTTTCAAATTAGCTGCACAATAGACAAAGAAACTGCAGACATCCACATGCAGAGAAAGAGGAGAGATTTATGTTTATTTTAGCTGATTAAGTCTGATTAGTTGTTTGTTTTAGTTGACCAATGTTATTATAATAACTTAAAAACAATGCATTAGTACTTTGTACAATTATCATATAAAGGAGGGTTACAAATTAACCATACATACTATATACTGTAGCCCATTATACAATAGTACAGGGGTAGACTAGGTTCTATATGAATTTGGCAATTTGCTACAGTTGTCTGCACCAAACCCTCGTGAATAGAGACACTACTATACAGTACTTATACATTCTTAAAGAAAATGCTAACTCAGTAAATTAGTTTCATCAATGCTGTGGCACAGACTGATGTGAGTGTGGACCCTCCACCAGCTATTGTGTAAGAGATATTCAGGAACTCCCGATAGTTTTTATTTCTGGGACAGATGGCACTGGGGAGCAAGACCTATTTGACATCAGTATTAGGGTGGCAGCTTTCTGACTCCAGTCATTGCACAGATTATTGTACTTTCCTGACCCTTTGCTCTGAAGAGATCTCGCATTTGCTTTCTTTCATAAAGTAGGGGGGTTGTGGTTTGAAGACAGTTGCTGTTGAGAAATTGTAAGCATTGTCTTGTTTTCCTGGTTTTTAATCAGAGTATTTTACTCACGTGGCATGCCAACAGCAGTAAAGGAAGATTTTAGATGCAAGAGAGTATTGGCTTCTGGAGGAGCCTTTAATTCACAATCTTGCACTGAATTGTTGAAGCCCCCCTCTGCCTTTTTCCCATGCCTGACTGTTAGCGTTGGTGCTCTGGTGTGCTGCTTGAGCGGTCTTTGTCAGGAAGGCCTGAATGTTAGCGGTATGCTCTGGGAAGGCCTGAATGCTGGCTGTGTGCTCTGTGAAAGAACACATTCGCTTGCTGTGTAGCTGAAGTGAACCCCTGCTGGGTGCTAGTAAATTGTAAGGACATGTGGTGGTTTCTAATACACTCTCATCTGTGGCTTTTATTAGGCATTATAATGGTTTAAAATACCATTACCAAACTACTGGACATTCAAAACCACGAATTCCAGGAGGACAAAGGAGTTTTTGAACTTTGTTGTGAGTTCTGGATTCTTAATGGAGCAGACCCCATTATGCATAGGAGTTTAAACTGAATAATATCTCTAAGTCCTCATCTCACAGACACTCAGACTTGGTGAATCTCATGCCTCTGGTTTTCACTCCTACCAGTTTGACCCTTTCAGGAAATAACAGTGGAAGACCCTAGACTCAGTTGTTCCCGTTTAGCTGTACCCTCTCTACTGCCTTCTTTACCTTACTAGCAGGCTGACCTGACAATGAATGTGGCTGCAACGTCTTGTGGGTTTTTTCTGCACCTTGATGACTTACTCTGTCTCTGCTCCAGGACATCTCACATGGAGTCCAGTCCTGATCTCTCCTGGGCTCCATTAACCTAATCTCCTCCTAGATTGTTTTCTTCAGTCTCCTCACAGTGGTTAGAACTACGTCCTGTCTCGTTTGCTATTGCTTCTTCTCCAACTGGCACAGCCACTAGCCTTCTGTTGCTTAACTTATAATAAGAGGCTGCTACTTAAAACATCAGCTCAGCTCGCTCACAGCACACAGCTACTTGCTTTCAGCATAGATTAACTCACTTGCAATATACAACCTTCAGCCCACTTATGTTTAGGTAACAGCTGTATTCAGGCACTGTCTCAGCTCATTCACAGCCCAGAGCCTGCTCTCTCACTACAGACAGCAGTAGCATCTCAAGCCCGCTGCGATCATACAGATGGACAGCACCTTCTTTCTCTCTCTCTCTCCTCTTCAGTATGGACACTCTCATTGCAGTGCTTGAGCATGAGGTTGATGGATGGCTACATCTGCATGCCGGCAGCACATACGCTCTGGCTCGACTAACTCTTCTGCCCTGGCGTGCCGGGTCTACTGCTCACTACCATTTAGTATGCACAGGAGATGTAAGGGAGACTCTCAATCTTACTATCCCTCTGTACTGAGGCTAGCTCAGCACTGACATCCAGGCTGAGTCTCCTAGCAGGGAAGTATCCGAACTGCTCTTATAGAATCTCCCACAGCTATGTCTTATTAGAACAGAGTTCCTTCAACTGCAGTCGCACAGCAACAAGGCTTCTCTACTGAGAAGCTCCACCCCCCTCAGACAGCACTCGACATTTTGTGTATTACTGAAACTTGGCAACAATCCAGGGTTTACCATTCCCTAAATGCCTCACGCCCTCCAGGCTGTACCTGTATTGAGAAACCGCGCCCAAATGGACGAGGTGGTGGCCTTACTGCTGAAAGTTACTGCTCCGTCTTAACTGGATGTCTGTTCATTTGAATGTTTAGTGTCATGGCCCTAGGTTGGCCATGGTTGGTTTTTTGGATTTATCTGGGTAGAAGACGCTTCCCGTCTTATTGGATGTTGAGCTGCTTTCCCCGCCTCTTATCTCAAAATAAAGTCCAGTTTCCTCCATTTTGACGGAGAACTTGTCTCTCACTTCAACAACCATTGAGAAGCGGAGGTTCTCGCTCTCCGACGTCTGCGGAGTTAAAGTTTTTTCTGCTCACTTATCTGCAGTGTTCATCAATCGTGTGCGCGAGTGTTACGTGTTCCTATGGTTTGTCCTTCTGTTAATCAGTTTAGTGATGTCTCTGTATTGTAATTTATATGAGATAGTTTAGGGTAGAACAGTGGGTTGAGGTTGCGGAAGACCTTTCTTTGGCTCTGCCACTTTTATTTTCCGGGCTGGAGTTAGTGAGGTTTGCCTTTTCCGTTATGGCAGGGTCATTAGTGTTGCTTGTTTTCTTGTCAGGGACTCACTATTATAATGTTTTGGTATAAATGACAGAAACAAACCCATACCGGTGTCACCCCCAGTTGTCCTGTCGCCCTATATCTGCCCCCGGGGAACAGGTCCCGTTTAAATCGACTACTGTTATTCTTTAACGTTTTATGTTCACGGCTCCTTCAGACCCTAGTGACTGAGTGAGGAAAAAAATAAGGTGGGGTTGTAACATTAGCTTTGAAATGCAAATCATCTCAGCCCATGACTATGCTTTTAGTATATCAAGTTCACAAGTTCCGTACACATCTGTGTACTCTGTTTCTGACTATCATTACTTCGGGAGAGATCAATATTTCTGCGGATTCCCCTACTTTACCTTGTGTTGCTTGTTTCATTACTTTTGGTGTTGCCTTCATCCTACTATATTGACTTGGATCTGTTGTATTTGTATTGTCTTCGCTGTATTGCCTTATGTAACCCAATTAATAAACAGGATAAAATATGTTCAAATACATTATACTGCACTTTGAGATTGAGTAATGAACAGTGCCCTATAAAAAATCATCAGCCTTTATGTAATCCAGGGAGTGGGTGTGTGTGTATAAATATGGAGGGAACAGTATGTAGGTACTTTTATATCCTATCAGATGAAAATTGCCATATAAATGCTATGAATTACCGATCAGTTATATTCAGCATAGTGTTTTACACACCACTGTTCTTACTAAATTAGTAAACTAATCAGGGTCATGTGCTGTTTTCTGACTTTTACAGGCTCTGAAAATAGTTTTTTTTTCAGATTATGACTTTCAAACATATTAAACATCTGCCATTGAATGCTGAAAATATTCTGTAGGCAGTTTCAAATTTACATTAGAATGGAAGTTTATTTAAACCCGTTATCTGGCTTTCACTGCCATTATATCCTCAAAAACACTTTTATACTACCAATATTAAAAAAATACACATGCAAAGTATCTAAAAAAACACTGGTGTACCCAAAGGAGCAATGTAATTAGTCTGCCTCTGTTTTTCATGATAGCAGCCAGTGTTAATGAGGACATAATTAGCAAGCAGAGACATCTTTAACCTACAGTATCCACATTTTTTACCGTTTGCAGAAAGAGGAGAGAGAAGGGGCTTGAGAGACCGAGGAAGCAGCAGCTGCAGACTCGCATTCTCCTGTAACACAGGCTGAGCTGGGAGGAGCTTGGGACCACCAATTACTCCACTGAGACTTTGGATTAATTCCCCTCCTGTTCAGCTCTTCTTCAATGAGCATTTGACTTGGTTCTTGTCAGCAATTTTTGCAATTGTACAGAAGCCAATTTTGCTTGCTGCCACCACCACCTCCTGCATGTTGTTTATCATTCTGAACATGGGATTTTACTACAACCTCACTGTTTCCCCTGTGGGAGTGAGCATATTAATTTGTCCATTTTTTTCCCCACCTCGCAGTAAACACCGTACATATATTTGGCTGCATCCTGAAGTCATGACAGCATAGCTGAGTTTGTTCATGGAAGGGGGAAGTCAGGCACTGAGAAGTTAAAGCTAGCAAAAGTGTTTTCTGTACTCACCCTCCCGACCGTCTCTTCCCTCCACGGGTTGGTATAGACCCCGTCATCCTCACCTGCCCGGCGTTGACTGGGGCGCCTGGTAATGCCACAGGTCCAGGGATTTCAGTTGCCATCTCTACATCCAGACAAAACAATATTACCATTATGACTGCACTTAAGACTACATTTTGTGAAGCTTGGAAAGATCACTTTAAAAACACTCATTACAGAAATTCATGCAAGTATTCGTGGGCGTGTGCGTGTGGACACGTGATGTGCTGTGAGCCTTCCCTGCAAATTTTTTTATTTAAACTGCACTGCAGGTATACCTAGCGCACATCCTAGACAGTCACACATTTGTTCAAAATAAGGCGTTTATCTAAAAATACAAGCCTTGGTGCGACAAAATTACACATTACATTAGCATACAGCACTTTGGAAAAGTATTCAGACCACTGCACATTTTTCATATTTTGTTTTATATCAGCAGGGAATGGGAAGCTTGTCAAGACTGATGGAAACATTGATGGAGCAAACTCCTGCTCCATTTGACAAAACTGGAACAAAAAATACTCTTTCAATAGGACAGCGATGCAAAGCTAAAGTGGAGTGGCATAAAATTAAGAAAGAAAATCTCCTTGAGTGGCCCTATCAAATTCTTCTTTTATCTGAGAATCCATGGAAAGACTAAAAATCCACTGTCCAGAAACGATCTCCAAGAAACCTGAGAGAGTTGAGCAAATCAGCAACAAACACAAAGTAAAAATCACAACAAATTGATGCATTGGTAGAGATACCAATGGACTTTACCCCCAAGGGATTCGTGCTGGAATTGCTGCCAAAGGTGCTTATAACTAATATTAGTCTGAAAACATAAAGGCTAGAATATGTTGATAGCCTACTGTTTAGTTTTTGCCAACATTTACTGTTGATGATCTTTAGAGGTCTTCAGTATAAAAAAAAAGAGTATCCATCAATTTGTAAGGCTCTGAACACTTTTGCAAACTTACGTATGTACAAATGTTTGGAAGCACGTCACCAAATAGATGTTAGTAGACGTGTATAGTAACGCTGAGAATTATTTTTTACAAAATTTACTGTAATCTTCAGAAACACACTATTTACACTGTGAACAAATAAAATAATTTTAAAGAAACTAGGCAACAATAATATCTTTGCACCTGTGATTACATTCCTGCTAATTTAATTTTGCGTTTCTGCAAATTTGCTTTTTTTTTAAGTTCAATATTTTCTACTAACATTTCTACCTGAAATATCAGTCTATAAAAAATATATTTTACACATTTCTATTCTTCAATCCATCCTTTAGCATCCCACTAAAGAGACACATTTCAAAACACATAAATCAGAGCACTGGAACAGGGTGCTCAGACATTTGCTTTCTCCAGCATTTAATACCCTTCTCCAAAATACCCAAGGCTGTTGGTGTTCTTCAGCAGACTTCTTCTAAGTTCTTTAAAAAAAAATATACCTTTCACTTCAATAATTCAAAAACAACATTTTATATTGCTAGACTGGATTTTATTTTATACCAGAGGGGCCAAGCTTAAGGCAGAGGGGCCAAGCACTGTTCCTGCAGAAACAGTCTGCTGGTTTTCATTCCATCTGCACTCTATATCTCCACTGCTAGAAACTCTTAACTGAATGATTCTAAAACTCAAAAATGTTCCCTTACACATTAGAATTTCACTATACTATAGCAGAGAACAGTACATATCAGGGATTACAACACAGGAAATAAAGGGAATTTAATTTATTTTAATTCCTGTTTTCACCTTATGAGCTATTTTCGAGGGAAGAATTAAGCATGTAAAATGAGGGATTACTATAATTATCATTAAGACTCAAACCACTAATATACTGGCAAACTAATTTCAGATGCCAAAACCAACAGACTGCTGTCCATTTTTCACAGAGAAAACGGTTTCTGGCAGTAAAACCAAAACTACTTTACATACAATCACACATATTTGGCACACACCCCTTCCAAGACCCATGTACGGCCCTGGAAGAAAAGACTTTGATCTGTATAAGAAATTAAACCCACCATCAGGGGACACCAAGTACCTCTATTTGTATTCCACTCAGACTCAGTCATCACTGGTCTGTTTACCTTGACTGTGGCCCCATGAATCAGACACTCCTACCTGCCTTGCATGATAATCATTTTATTTGGAGCAAAATTACTGATGGGTAGCAAGTAAAGTCTCTCTTTTAGATAAATATTTCTGATTAACGACTAATGTAACCTCTGCTACTCTCTTGTTATATGACTAATGGCTTCAGCTGTCATCCTAGAAACAGATTTTTACTGGGAAAGCAGAAGGAAGGGGGCCAGTGCTGTCTCTCTCTACTCCCAAAAGTACAGCAGCAGCACAGTTTGTCACAATACTAGAAGTCAGGTATACCTCCTACTCAATAAGAATTAAGATCGTAATTGATAATTAAAGGATCCCAAATTTAAACATAAAACTATCTGTAATTATAATACCAATATGCACATCCAGAGTGTCAGAGCACATCCACAGTGTGAGAGTGCCGATTTTACCCTCAACGGTACTGAGGGGACAAGACATTTCAGTTTCATTTTCTGAAGATCTTTGGTGGACACCCCTTGTTCTGCTTAACATATACATTTATCATAGCATAGCATTAATCAGTACCTGTAAATATCTCAATCAATTCAGTTAACAAGGGGCAAGAATAAAGGGTTTGTCATCACGCTGAACTATTAACAAGCTTAGTGGCCCAGCTGGTCATTTAAGCATTGTTTCTCATTGTAAGCTTTACCAAGTGATGAAATTCTCAAATGACCTTAAAACTGGAATATGTTTAGGAGAAAACAGTACTATAATTGTAGACATACAAAGTAATCTGTAAAAAATTCACAAGAAGACAATGTTTAAATGAAACCTATCATAGTTGTGTATATATAACAGGCTTTTTAACTGTTTAAATCATCTAAGGTCACATTCCCATTTAAAACAAGTTTCAGAAGAGGTTCCCAATCCCACTGTCAAGAAGAAAACATGAAAATTAGAAAAACAGGTCAATAAATGGTAGGGGAACATGATCATTCTTCAGCTAGTATTTTTGTTACTTTAATGTTTTGGTTGATAAGCATACTATCTATTGCTGGTTATGGTCTGGTTAAGATTTAATCATCAATTCACTCATCAACAGGTAATTTCAAATATATCACTCAAAAGTGGATTTCTATTTGCCAGAGACTCATTTCACTTCCCAAGGGAAACCTTCCAGGAGGTGTTGGCTTGGATTGAAAAATTGGTAGCTTCAGTTTACTGCAGGCCAAATGTGTAATAGCTAAGAACTTCACACCCACATAAACAGGCCATTAGCTCTTAACTGATACTGCACTCCGAGAAGGAAAACTGCATCAATCAGTAAAGTATGAATAGACACTACTGGCAGTGATACACATACTTCACCTATACTTAATCTTACCAAGTCTCTAATGATGTTAGAAGATTGCTGAATACAGGTAATGCCAGCGTCACACTACACAACTTTTTCTTGGATTTTCAGTCATAGCCTTCATTTACATAATCGTAAGAAAAATCACAGCGAGCTGTAAAGGGTCGCAGCCGCACCCGTTACCGTCAGTTGTGTAGTGTGACACCCCCCGCGACTCAGTCATAGCGCACTTAACAGCCCCTACAACTCTGGGAGCCGCTACGAGAAAATCAAATCAATTTTCTCATAGCGAGTCGCACGTCATAGGGGTGGGAAGTGAGTCAGATGTGTACCCATGAGATAATGTGCCCGATATGCAATACAAATTTGTATAATGTTTTATATTTTTAGCTGTGTTTCTTTTTTGAAAATGTGTTCTACATTTATAAAGAAGAATTATACTTTTGAAGATGTTTATTTGTGTAAAGCAATGCCTGTGTTACAGTCTTCAAGATGTTTACGTGCTTGTTCTCCATATTAATTTCCTGCGGTGCTCCTCTTGTGCTCCACGTTGATTGGCTGCCAAATGAGGTGACCTTGCGGTACTTCCCAGTGCAATACGAGATTTGGAACCATGATGAAAAGTCATGAGGGAATCGTGTAATTAGTCACCCCCTGCGCTTCCTAGTCATTTAATTTGACACCCTCTAGGACAGAAAAGGCAGTGAGATTCAGCAACTGCAGTCATTAAATATGACATGCTCTCTGACTAGAAGTCATGTTGAGTCCTGTAGTGTGATACTGCTTTAACATACTGGATAACCTTGAGCAAGTTTAGCATTCTATACGTTTACATTTTTTTGCTTTAAGTTGTTAAACAGATGTCTGAAACAAAGTAAAATTTAATCTTGCACTTCTGTTCTCTAATGCATAAATATCTTGTCTGCTGAGCCTCTTATTCCACATATTCTCTCACAGCCTTCACTCCATCCCATCTTACCCTTGCGTAGCTCCCTGGCTCATTCCTTGCACGTGAGGAACGTTCATAATTTCCTCAGCCAAGCGAGTTGATGACAAATGCTACAATCTAAATAAAAATTTGCTTTCCCTTTATATTCAGCAACCTGTGGTGTTAATTAGAATTTGACCAAATTACTGAATTCAACATTAAAACCAAAACTCAGATTAACTGAACAGAAGTCGACATTTGCTACAGCAGAAATCATGAAAGGAGAGCATTTATCATGTCATCAGCACTGGAGTCTGAATGTTGCTTGTACAGCTAGAAAGTAACAGAAAAACCTTGAGATGACAAAAATCCAGATGATTCTGCCCTTTTGTATATAGCATTGCTAGGACTAGGATGATTTTTTCTTGAATTTGCTTTCAAAAACAACACATTCTACCAACAGCATAATGAATCAAAACCTTCATTGTTCAAGGCTCTACAAGGAACAGTATGCATTACTTAGGATTGATAAATAAGTTGGGTTGATAAGTACGAACAGTAAATGACTCATACTAAACATCTGACAGCATTTATTTATGCATCTGACAGTTATTTATGCAACTGAAACGTAGTTGTAAAGTCCTGTACATAGTACACACAAAATCACATTTTTTTGTTTTGTTGAACACCCTTATTATTTTTAGAACAAATTCTGTTGTTCAGGACTAGTATCATGATACTAGACAGATCATGACTAGTAGTTGATAACTGCCTATGTATCACATTTTTCATTCCAAAGGATCCCAAGACACTATACATACACAACTAAACCCAAAATATCCACCACCGAAGTAAAAGACACCTGTATGTCATGTCTGGCTAATGTGTTGAACTGTGTCTGTTTAGTATGCACAGGGAAAGATCCTTAAGAGAGCAGAATTTAAGCAAGGTGTCCTTCAATTCTGCTCTTTTGAAAGTGGAAGCTCCTGTAGTTTGCTTTGAATTCTTAACTACTTTCTGTACACTAGAATAGTATTCAAATAAAGCAGCGAAACCTTTAATAAGGGAAATGCTTGTTTAAATTCTGCACACAAGCCTATGGACCTAATATTTGCACACATTGTGTTCTGTAGTGTTGTACTGTAGAGGACGTGGTCCAGCTGTTTCTATTATAATCACTACGAATTACATAAAATTACAAGAAAGGTTACAAATGAAAGGAGGCTTTTTGGCCCAACTAGTTTGTTTGGTGGTAGCTAAGCAATCCAAGGATGTCACCCAGCTGTTTCTTAAAAGGAGCCAAAATATTAGCTTGGATAACATGGCTGCTCCACACTTTCACACCTTTTTATGTAAATAGACACCTACTGTTCTCCTTTTTAAAGGCAATTTCTTATGTCCTCTGGTTGATGTCGCGCTGTTGATTTTAAGCCCACTAGACTGACATGTCAGTGCCTTTGAGGATTCTGAATACCTGGATTACATTCCCTTTACTCTTCTCTATTCAAAACTCATTCATTTTTTCCCCACCACAGTAGGACATTCCTTTCTGACTGGGAATGTGACTGTTCACTCTTCTCTTTTCCAGTTCCAGAACAGCAGTATCATTTTTTGTAATTTGGCTGTTAACATTGTATATAATATTCTGAATGAGATCTTATAAGTGCATATAAGTGCAATCCACTGACTAGCTTACATTCCGTTTGCCTTTTTATTGCTTTTCCACACTGTCTAGGAGATCTAAATGATGTGTCACAATTATAGAAATCTTGTTAAAACGCAGCGTTTCCCATATTATAACTAATTTATGTTTATATCAAGGATATGCTTTCCATTTCTCTAGTTTATGTATCTTTGTGCAACACTCTGGACTTGGGCGCATTAAAAGACACTTGCCAGATGTTTTTCTAGGCTCCTTGATTATTCCTCTTAAGAGGATTATTCCTCTTAAGGGAGTCTTGTAGAAGAGGACTTTCTACAAGACTCCCTTATCTTGGGATCATGTGTTGACTTGACTGAAGAATCCAGATGATGGATTTAAATTAGTGGGCCTTATACAGAATCCAGTGGAACCTCACTAACGACATCACCCCAGAAGTAAGCATCTGGACTCTTTCTATCCCTTTACCAACTTCTAATTCAAAGACATGCATTATCTTGAATGCCATCTTTTATAAAGACCTTGATCAATTTAGCTTTCCAAAAATCCAAATATATCATCTGCCTTTTAATTCAGCCATTACTGCTGCTGCTTCTTCTTCTTCTTCTTCTTCTTCAGCATGTTAATATGTAAGAACTTGTTAGTTTAGCAAGACCTTCCTTTTCTAAATCTATTGATTACCCTCAGTGATTCTAATGCCATATAGAAGATTATTTTCTTTTCAAGTTTATTTTCACTTAGCATCATTCACATAATCTGACATGTAATAGGTACAGGGCTAAATTCATAGAGGCTATATTAGCAGTTTCCCAGTCACTGGATATTAGCACTACACTGTGTAACTTGCGTTAAATGATTAATAATAGAACATACAGTATTCTTAAGTGCAACTGGTAGAATATCAGACGCTGGAGTTATATTTCAGTGTTAACAGTATTTAAAATAGAACTTTATTTCGGCTCAGTTTGAGCATGTTGTAAATTACTTTTATAGTACCCAAGTGGAATATTAATTTTTCCAAGTGGAAATATATTCATTTATCATCTAAATGTTCTTATATTATTAAATGTAAAAATTATATTTTAAAAAAACTAAATATGAAATAAAATTGTTTTCCAACCTGTATCAAAGACAGTAAGATTAATTTATAAATGATGAAAACAGCCCATACACCGAGCATTTTTATCTTATTAAAATAAATAGCATGAAATCCTACATACATTCACATCTACAAACTCTGATCCTAACATTGTGTACTGTATTAACTGCTTTACCTTTCTCAGCTTTCAAGGGTGCATAAACAGAAAGTACCAATTCGATCTAAAAACATGTGCCTTTCAATTAAAGGCAAATGAAGTACAATTTACAGAAAACTTTACATGAACCTATGGAAACCGTAATTTGTACCATAAAAAATAACTAAGCTGCAACACTACAGTAGAAGCACGCTACGTGCATTTAAGAGACGATTTACGTGCAACAGAGTAGGACCATACTGTACTTAATGAACCATTTGTAGTTCTGTACATAATGACTAACATAAAAATGTTCGTACGTAAAACAAAATAAAAATCCAAATGTTTTAAAAAACGTTTCTGTCCTCATAAACAAAATTATTTTTGTTACCTTTAAATGATTTACACATTTCCTTGCAAGATAATCAACAGGCAGTAGAAGCAACAAGCAGTAAACGAAGTAACTTTGTTATAATAAACCTAACGCTACGCTGTGGAGTTGAAATTGGACATCCACGAAAACACATGTCAACTGTCTAACTATGGAAAAAGCTTCAAGATTTTAAGAGAGAAACCTATGAAGTCAAAGCGCGTAGGCTACTGCTTGCTAATGTATTCAGCAAGTCGTTTCCATTTCCAGAGACATCAGTCGGATTGTTGAGAAGATAGACACCTAAATGAATGTGGTAGAGTATTGTTGTATAGCTTACAGTTGTATGTTGTATGTAGCGATATGTTATAAACTGCATCTGTCTTTTCTCGGTTATTTCAGAAAACGGTACAGTGTCCTGTACGTTAGGCTCAGGGGGAAGGGGATGCTGTTTGAGTGACAGACATGAGCATAAACCCAACTGCTGGCTTCTTTTGTTTTAGAGAAAATAAACTTACACGATGCACAACCCCCTCGACAAGGGATTGAACTACTGGTAATAAAGAAAGAAATGATGGAATTAAACCACGTACTTACCAGTTGGATTCACAGCAGCGGGTGTTGCCATGTCGGCTCGTTGCAAAAAAAAAATAATCAAACGAAAAGAGGATAATGACGCACAAAGCAAGACGCGAGGAAAGACAATCAGAGCTACGGTGTTGCACTCGAGCACAATACCGCTCTTTACAACTTCATGAGCAATCGCTGCAAGGAAAACCGATCAAGGAGCATTTAATACGAGTAAATCAACCGAACTTAAACGTTTTCACCTCGTTTGTAACAAATAAGCTCCCTTTCAGATGCAAGATGTCTGAAAGGTAACACCGCGAGACTTCCCCTGAATTAATTAATATACAAAGTTTAGCATACAGGGGGAAGGCAACATCGTAAAAGTTAGAGGACGTGGGTGTTCATTGTTAATGAAGTTGCACATTGTGTTAAATATTAATTTCAACAACTTGTCTAATTTGATGCATCTCGGCTCTGAGTGATTTTACCACGCACCACATCAAAGAACCGCGATTTTCTTGTTGACGCGTTGGGGGGAAAACAGTTTGAGCTGGGAACCCAGGTCTCGGCGGTGCAGGACAGGACAATGTATTAATCTCACTCGCTGAGGGACAGTATTAAATCAAAACAGACTGTTTCTCCGGTACACTTAACATGGCAATTATCAAAGATAATTAACTTTTTTGTCCGGGTTAGAGCAAATGACGATCATCTAGTAAAGAATTACAGTACATGCCCTATCTTTTGTCAATTGAATTGTGATACATTGCGCAACCCTGCCTATTTTTATGTAGATTCTTAATTTTTTTGTTGTTTATAGTAATTAAGCCGAAGCAACGGTGTCACGGTAGATATAGATTTGTGTTTCAAAATGCAGATCAATCTAGTTACCGCGTCTTCTTTATCAGCAGTGATAAGAGACGAAAACTTTTTTTTCCACTTTAACCTTTGCGCATAAAAATTACTTTGAAATCTTTCTTGGGATTGAAAAAGAGGGCACTATTAGTTGTCAAAACAGTCGAAGAAATAAAGTCAGAAAATTGTTTAAACGGCATGAGCAGTATGACGAAATTTGCAAAACTCATACACAACGCCTAATTTCAATTAAAACAAACTAGAGACTGTGTGGGGTTTCCAAGGACATAACTCAAGTATCAATGTCAGGTAGTAATTATGCTTGAAGTCCGTCGGGTACTCATGCTTAATCATGTTTTACATAACCAGAAGTATTTCTTTAGAAGATATTAATTTATGGCATAATCTCAAGTAGTCCTAAATTTAGATTTGATTCCATCTCTTTGTAGTTGCATACATGAAAAGCAATGTGGGAGTACTAAAATGCAATCCAAGATTATGAAATACCTCTAATTTGAATTATTTTCCCCCATATGTACTGTAAATGTATAGACAGATGTTTATTTAACCCACATACTCCAGATAACCAGGTGCATTTCCTGTGGTATGAATTGGAATATAGTCACATGTGAGCATCTTTAAAATTTAAAGTTGGAAGAAAATATTGTTTGTAAGTATTTTTTTTAGTTTGTGAAAGTGTAGCATTTCCAAAACTATGTGAAATTATGTTCAAAAGGCCAGCTATGCTGTTAAAACATATTTTGCTGTTGAACTTGAACTTGAACTTTATTGCCATATGTAACCGGTACTGGTACAATGGAATTCTTACTTACAGAAAGTCTCTCAATTGTAAAACAAGTGTAAAAAACAAGACAAAGTGCAAACAGTGCATCAAGACAATGTACAAACAATAGACAATGTGCAAGTAAACATGTAGACAGTTTGAATGTAAACAATACAGACGTGTAAACAATGACTGGAGATGTGCAATAGATAAGAAATCATAAAGAGGTAGATGGTGATGGTGTAGGTGTGGTCCGAGGGGGATGGCTAAATGTGTTCGCCAGTCTCACTGTTTGTGGATAGAAGCTATTGTTAAATAGATCAATTAAATCCAGTAACCCAAGGAGAATGCTCTCCTGATTGTAATGGTGATGTGCACAAATAAGGAACTCTTTTTCTAATATACTTTCTTATTATGTTGATATTAAATTTACACAGATCCTCAACATGATTCTTTTAGGATCAATCTATTGTTCCGTCAGCAAATGACGCAGAGAAACTTAAAGTACAAATGCAGGAGTGATAAAATTGTCTTGACTTGCAAATAACATAGTTAAAGCAAACATCCTTTGGTGCTAAAGTCCAGGCCAAAAGCCAAACAGGAGTGCACATCAGAGGTCATTCTCAGCTCCAGCAGAATTCTAGGCCGCTCTGGATTCTACTAACACAAAGGCTGCCAGACCTTTGCTGTCTAAAAGGAATCATGCAAAGTTTTGCAGAAATAGTGCTTTGCAAAACTCTCCTGTCCTTCCTCATTTGGAGGTTATCACTGTTGTCCCAGGTGAAATTACAGAGGTTATCGGCACCTTCACTACTATTGATATTGGTGTGTGTATTAAAACATCTTATTATTTTTGGGTTATTCACACCATTAGCTGAGACTAAATTGCATATTTTCAATACAGGTAAATCTAGCTGTAAAACAATATTTTCTTCCAACTTTAAATTTTAAAGATGCTCACATGTGACTATATTCCAATTCATACCACAGGAAATATGTCATAGAATGTTTTCTCTGGTTAGAACACGGTGCTTAAAATACAGTGTAATCAAAAAGCACCTACTGCATATCAAAATATTCCCAAATTATACAGTATTTGCCACTTATACCTTTTATAATGAGCACAGTGTATTACTGATGTACAGTGCCTTGCGAAAGTATTCGGCCCCCTTGAACTTTTCAACCTTTTGCCACATTTCAGGCTTCAAACATAAAGATATAAATTTTT